TAAACCACTAACCACTGCTACCACTTGTCTGAAAAACCTTTGAAAGACCCAGGCCTGGTAGTTTGTGTGGGTATATACCAAAAAGACCCAGACCAAAGAAATTCCTGAAGTTTTGGTTAGAGGTGAGGGAGGAAGGACCACACATGACCCTCCTCAAATTGCTCTGATACCTATTGGCCTGGTCCCAAAAGAAACAAGTCCAGAAAAAATTAGGTATGGAGTCTTATATTCCATCCCCTTAAGCTCCCTGATTCCTTATAGCACCTTCAGTCCTATGGCAAGTTTGTAGTGACCGGGAAGAGAATTGGCTACCCTTTGGAAGCACATGTTAGAAGTAGGAAGTCTCTTCCAAGTACATACACTAAGCCGAATAGATCTGTTTCTGGGAGAATGGGCAATGATATCAATTTTTACCAAAAAAGAAATGCTTTCTCATGATTAAGGGAAAGGTGGCAAGTATGTGTTATATATACATACTAGAGCTGTGCAAGAACTGGAATTTGCATTTCTATGAGAGTTTTGCAATTTTGAAATTTCTTCCGGTCCAGAATGGAATGAAAACAAAAAAATTGCAAAATTTCCTGTGAACCAAAATTCACATTAAAAATTGTTTCTGGTTGATCAAAAAATTTTTTTACAACATTGAAACATTTCATTCTGATTACAACTTCTTTCATTTGATATTTTATAGTATGAAATTAAAAAAAGATCAATCGTTTAGAAGCAGAAAGCCAAAATGTTCCATTCCAAAAAGTTCAACATAGAATATCACTTTAGTTCAATTTTAATTTCAAGATGAATCTTCATCAAAGGCAACACATTTCCATGAAACATATCTGCCAGAAAATTTCTGACCAGTTCTATTATATACACTTACCTTCCACCTGCTTGTCATAGATCTACTTTCTCACTAATTTCTGAACACCAGAGGGAGGGTAATATATGAGCTCTGTTCCCTATAAATTCTGTAATGAGACATTGGCCCTGATTCTTGTCTTTCCTGCACTGGTGTAAATCAGGAGTAATCCTACTGAAGTCAATTGAGCTACAGTGTTGTTCTCCAGTATGAGAGGAAAACCAGGTCCACACTGTCCAAGGTTTCTTTGGCCTCTACTACACTATCTTTGGTGCAGCTATGCCTTTGGAATGGAGAAATGTTTGTTTTAGAAGTGGTGCCATGATGGGTTTATTTTCTGATCCATTCTTCCTTCAGGGGGAAGCAGGGATTGATGGAATGAAAGGAGAGAAGGGTGTCCAGGGTGAGAAAGGAGACCGAGGTCCACTGGGATTGCCCGTAAGTCTCCAGGAAGCAAGGAGAACTTGGGAAGCCATACATAGTCCAGTCTTAGAAAGATCCCAAAATAAGAGAGACAGATAAAGATTTGATTATCTAAAATTAGAGTTAGGGACAAAAAGCTGGCCTATGAGCAGCAGTGCCTATTGGGTTTTAGTGATGGACAAGCCTCAACTGTTTTGGGCAGTTGGTTGGGATCAGCATCTGAAACTGGAGAAGCTTATCCCTTGGATCTGTAAAATTGGACTAGGAATCTCATTAGAACAGGTTCCCTCAAGTTCCTTCTGCTTTCCTGGCTGAAAATACTGTATGAACAGCTTTTCTTCTGGTCTTTTGGCACTTCTGGTTTTGGTCCTGGCCTTGAAATGCTGAGATGTGCAAAAATGAAGAGAAAACAGTTTGCTGAGCTGTTTTTAAACTGAAAAAAAGGTTTTGTTCAAGCTTTGGGGTCTTTTTAATGTATCCAATCCAGTTAATTTATCCCTGTCATTTTTGCAATAAAACTTGATGCCTTCCCAGAAGCAGTAAATATCCAATTAAGTTTCATTCTTTTCTTGTATATGTAATAAGGATATTCTATTTCAACATATTCATGTTTAAACCAGTGTTACTGTGCTGCTCAGTTACATGTTATCAAGGAAGCGCTAATGCATTTCAGTAGAGTTAAGAATCAGAGTGTGGTCGCTTTATATCAAAACCAAAGGATTTTGTAAAGAAAAGGCACAGAGTTTTACCTATTCAGAAAAAAGCACTGAAGTGAAAGCACCAAAGTACACCTTTGCTGAACCTCACACTGCCTGGAAACATTCACTGCAAAGAGCTTGTTGTGCGCACCTGTGTGATTTGTTGTTATTGGCCTTTGTGCTATCACCCAGCTCCCTTGTCCAGATAGTTTTGGCTGAAAATTGCATGTCTTTGTTTATAACAATGGTGCCAAGATGTTTAAAGCAGTGATGTGCTAAGTGACTTCAAAAATGAGGCTATGACATATGAAACTTAGTTGGGAAGCATGTTGCACAGATGGGCTGGCTTACACATTGCCTTGTCGGCTCCCACATCTACAGTTCCTTATAATACAATGCAAGTGGCAATAAATCAAGAAACAAACTTGCTCTCAGGGGAGTTATAAGAAAGCTGGAAAGCAGAAACCCTCCCAATATCACATTCACCCTCAAAAATATAACTGGCTAGTAAATGAACCACATAAAACGTAATTATTGAGCTATGCAGCCATTGACAATTAGCAAAATGTTTATTGAGATGTAGATGGATTTTATTTGCCATATTCAGAGGAAATAAGCTACATAGTCAGGACATATAAATACTCTCTTGTTAAGATATAAAGGGCCGGATCCTGCAAGTTTTCAGAATGTAGACCCCTAAATGTGGTTGAAATAATTAAGCATCTAATTAGCATCTATCGTGACAGAGATAGACCGTAGATAATGTGTTAGAAATCAATTGTTAAACCAGCACAATCCCACCAAGCTCAAATAAGGGCAAAAAATTGGACCAGAATTTGGCCCACCGACTTTAAACATTTAGACCCAGACCCACAAAGGGATCCAGAGAGAGAGTGAGTGAGAATGCCTTGTGGTGAAGGCAGGCACCTGGGAGGTGGGACACTGAGGGCCCAGTCCCCTTGTTCCAATGACCCTTTAATTATTTATTCTCAGAGGAACAGGTTCAACAGGAGAGACTGCAGGAGTCCCGCATCAGAATATCCCTTAGTTCAGTGATTAGCACACTCTCCTGAGAGGTTGGAGACATAGGTGCCGACTCCGTGGGTGCTCTGGGGCAGGAGCACCCACGGAGAAAAATTAGTGGGTGCTGAGCACCCACCAGCAGCTCCCTGTGGCCCTGCCCCACCCCCCTGCTCCAGCTCACCTCCGCCCCCACCCCCGCCTCCTCTGCGAGCGCACAGCTGCATCCTGCTTCTTCCCCCTCCCTCCCAGAACTTGCGCCGCGAAACAGCTGTTTCGTGGGGGGGGGGAGGGGGAATGTGGTGTGCAGGGGGAAGAGGCAGGGCTGGGGCGGGGATTTGGGGAAGGGATCCAATAGGGGCAGGGAGGGAGCGGATTTGGGGCGGGGACTTTGGGGAAGGGGTTGGAATGGGGGCGGGACAGTGCGAGCACCCACCAGCGCCGGAGAAAGTTGGCGCCTAGGATTTGACCAGGGGTCTCCAACCATTTCTTCCACTCAGGCAGAAAGGGCAATTGAACCTGGATCTCCCAAAACCCAGGTCAGTGCTCTGACCACTGGCTAAATATTGCAAGGTCACCACCACTAATAATAATAATTTTGAATGGGACCCAATCTGGTAGGCAGCCTCTGAGCGTACCCACCGGATCGGGCCCCATGAGTGAGATTGGCTCCTCTGCTTGTCTTCCCCTGCTTTGTGGATCACACGGGGGCTTAGATGGGACACAGGTGTTCAGCCAGCTAGACTGAGACAGCAGTGCACATACCCAGAGACAAAAACGTAGGTGCCAAGTGAGTTTAGGTGGCAGCTGAGCAGAAGTTTTGCAGACCACAGTGGAGCCTAAAAATGGGTCTAAGGCACCTAAGTACCTTTATGGAACTGGGCCTTACATATTTAAAAAACAGCTACTCTAGACAGTATTACAAATTAAAGCATTCACACTGCAATCAGGTGAATGAGATCAAAATTGAGAAATATTGTGTCAACACTATCATGTACATGTCCTCCACTTTTGATTACAAGATATCATATGTGTGTGCAAGAATTCTCCTTGATCATTAACCCGCTGTTCCTGTCTGATAATTTAATGATTGCCTAATATTAAACATATGATGTCAGAATAATACCAATGACTACACAGTGATCCTATAAACCCAACTGTCTACCAATGTAGGCATTTAGACTACCCTCATCACCATCATATCTGGATACCTAAATAATAAACCCAGGTGTATACTTCAGTGTAAGAGTCAGGCAGAGAAAGCTATCATTTAAATTAAGGATCAGCAGTGACCCTTCCAAAGTTGAAGCTAAAGCAAGATTCCCAATATAAATCTGATTTTCAGCCACTCCCAACAGCTGGCTTTACCCCCTTATCTGACTGCTAGACCATGCAGCTCTCTCTATGTGAGGCATGAGCAGTTTTGAAAATGGAATGCACATCCCCACTTAACTGATACACACTTCTAGCTGGGAACTCCCTGAGCAGTGGATGGCTCTCCAGAACCTATCAATATCTGGGTGGGTTCCAGGCACCTCGATTCCTCTCTAGTACCAGTGCTGTATTTCATTTCACCGATAATTCAATGCTGCAATGGCCAGCCTGACACTGTCATTACAAGGGTCCGCAGCTCCACTGTCACAATGCCCTTCTCCTTGCCTAGAACAGCACAAAGCAGCTTCTCCCTAGTGTGATCACTGAGTGGTACTTTGGTACAGAGTAAGAGGGAATGTTGCATTTTCAAATGTATCTTAAAGGCACTAGCCAGTATTACATGCATTCAGTGTGTCTATGTTTTCACTGGTTTCCGTGTAAGTACCATCACCTGTCCTTGAGTTCTTATTTTTTGTTTTTGTTTATTGCGAGCATATGTTTGTCTCGAGTCACTGCTTCACTCACCTCTTCCCTCCCCCTTTCCTTTTTCTCCCCTCACCTCCCACTCCTTCCTGCCTTTTTTGTAAACCCTTTCCCATCTGTTCAGGGTGCTTCAGGTTTAGACGGCAGGCCTGGACCACCGGTGAGTTCCATTTCTCCATTACCCTACATTCCTCTTCCCTGGTACTGTGATGTGTCTTGTCCATCGCACTATGCCTCATTTACATTATGACTAGCTTTCTTCTCCCTGAAGATGGAGAGGATGTCAAAATGCTAAATTTAGATATTGTTACTGAGAGGTGAAAGATCGCCCTCTTGTCACTCTCAATAATGTACTTCCATTTGGGACTAGGGGTTTTAGCCTTAATCACATCCTTTTAAACATTTTTTTACTTTATTATTTATTATTATTACCAGGATTATATTAAATGATGCCTCTGCATGAACCCATTATGCCATGTACTTCTGTCCTCATATTGTGAGCTGTCTCCGTCTTGTCTTTCCCCGTGGTAGCCTCGCTTACAGCATTGTGCAACAGCATCTCCTCAGACTTGTCTTAGACATAGTAACACCTCACTGTGTACTGTTTTCACACATACCATTTAGGACTGCATTGCAATGGGTTGCATGCACAACTCTTATTATAACCTCAAATGCACCTCTCCAGTAGGAGGAGAGGCATGTGAGAAACCTTCTGAAAAACAGCACGAGCCACCCCTTTGTGAGCACCAACACACCACACAATTTCCTGAGCTTCAGCAACTTCATAAATGCTTTTCTCAAGTCTCAAAAACCATTGGTGGAAGTTTTAACTTGAATTTTATTCATCTGGGAGGCAGTGATGTCTAGTGGCTGAGCAGGAGGCTGAGAACCAAGACTGCTAGGTTCTATCCCTCACTCTGTCATTAACTCACTGTGAGTCCTGGGGCAAGTCAGATAACCTCTCTGTGCCTAAGTTGTAAAATTAGAACAAAAATAATGATGCTAACCCAATTTTATAAAGCACTTTTGATCTTTGGATGAAAATTACTAAGGGCAAAGTATTATTATTTCTTCATAGGATGCTATATAGCCTCCAAATACAGTCAGATTTGACTTTTTCAGAGGTACTTTGATTTCCCCTTTTTCAGTGGAACAGGAATTACTGTAATTTCATTGCCCCATAACTCCCCCAAAACAGAAATTGAATGACAACTTCTAATTTGCATATTTGTTTCAAGAAATTGTATATTTACTTTTACAAATCTTCTAGATATTCCCCATGGATCTTTAGGGACTCTAGGCCTTAAACTATCTTAAAATGGAGAAAATGTATAGGTAGTTAAAATCCCCATGGTGCACTTACAGTCCCTGCATGAGTCCAGGGAATGATTTTTTTCCCTCCTTTACACTGAAGTGGTGGGTGTGTGTCATGATGAATTACTTCTCCAGGCAGTTCCTGCAAATTCTTACAAGTACAAAGTGTCCTTCTTACTCACACGAGTCATCCTACAGAAGTCAGTGGGAGTCCTTTTGTGAGTAAGGATTGCAGGATCCAACCTCTCATGATTAAACTTCCACTTCCTTTTCCTTCAATTAAAAGGATAAGCTACTGTAAAAGGTCCAGAAGGTCTCCTTTTTACATTCCTGACAGAGGTAGTTTTCCTTTCTAGCAGCTCATGAAAGAATTAAAAAATTGGAACTTGGATAGATAGCTAGTTTTTCACCAGTCCAACATAATATGATCTGATTTGGCATAGAGTTAAAAAGGTAAATGCATAAATATGTTCTGTTTAGGAAGGTGCTTTGAAATCTCCTAATCCTTTACTTAGATTTTAAAATAGCAGCATGGAGAACGTTAGATACTGTGGCAGAGAACACTCATATGACCTAAGGTTGCCAACCCTCCAGGACTGTCCTGGAGTCTCCAGGAATTAATCTTTAATTAAAGATTAATTCTTATGTCATGTGGCGAAACCTCCAGGAATATGTCCAACCAAATTGGCAACCCTAGTTATGACATGTGGTATAGGAGTCCACAAGAGGCTGAATCCAGATTCAAATGAGTGTAAATCATAAGGATTTCCACAGAAAATCTGACTTAGTTGTGTTGACTTCAAGAATGATAACACTTCTCATGGCCAAAAGGGCTATTGCCTCCGACTGTATTATTAATGCAAAAAGATAAGAATTGATTGGGTTGACTAATTAACTTACCAACGTCCAAGCAAGCTTCAATGTGGCTGAAAATGTTGGTATGAAAAAGGGAGATTGATTCTGGGCCAAAGGCTGAGCACAGAGACTGGATTTTCCCTTTACCATGACCTAGAACTTGTTGGAGTGATCTAAATGGTGAAAGGGTGGACAGAGGATTTAGGATTGAATGGGTACTCTCTCGTGTTTGCCTTTGTGTATGCGTGCATCTGCATTAGTCCATGCGGCATGGTGACCTTTCAAACTGCATGATGATCTGCCTACCAAAAAATAATGCAAATTCTATTTCATTTTTGCTCAACTGAACTCATTTGGAAAAAAGCTTAAAATGTCTACATCGCCTTTCTGCTGCTACAGGTTTCAGCTTTGCTGGGGATGCAAACTCATGGGTAAAACTACAGTCACCTAGCAAATAAAGGGGTGTCTGTCAATGTTATTTTTCAAGAAAGCCACCCCCCAAATAAAAACCAAGGCTTTGTAAAAATATACTGATCTTGTATGGCAATTTCTATGGTCCTATAATTGCATGTGAGAGTTGTTAAGAGAACCTGTCCTCATCAACCCTGAAAGCTGTAGTAATTCAAATGACTCCTTACATAATTGAATCTCCTTCTCAGCTCTGCTTTTTCCTCAAGGACCATGCTGTTTCTCAGTTGTAAAGAAGCCTGATCATGAAGAAAATGGTTTATGTGTTTTTCTCTCTAAAATTGCAGGGTACTCCAGGACCAATTGGAGCTCCAGGACCAGCAGGACCAAAAGGGGAAAGGGTAAGTTAGCTTTAAAAGACACACACACACACCCCTCCCCAACTTCTTCAAAGTTTCATGGATGGTGCCAGCTGCTACTGTTTCTGAAGTACAGTAATTGCAGCTCCTTCCAGAAGTTGGGGCTTGGCTCTTTGTGACTTTTAAGCATTTTATATTTTGGCTTTTTTCTGTACGGCAACTAGAGGTCCTGAAATGGGTGCCCCCTGCATTATTTTCAGAAGTGTTCATTTATCCATCTGTGCCCAGCCTGTTAATGGATATGTCTATACTTCAAGCTGGAAGTATGGATTACAACATGGGGAGACATACCCATTCTAGCTCTGATTGAGCTAGCCACTAGAAGTAGAGTGTAGCCGTGGTGGCACAAGTGGCAGGAGGGGCTAGCTATTCCAAGCATTTACCCTCCAAGATGCTATATACATACTTGGGCAGCTGGGACCTCCTTCTGCTCGTACCACTGCAGCTACACTCTTGTGAGTTGAACCTCCAGATCAAAGTGTATTTGTACCCCATACTGTATACAAAAATAGAAAAAAATTTCTCTTTCGTCTCTATTTTAGGGCAGTAAAGGTGACCCTGGAAATGCAGGACCAATGGGGCTAGCTGGGCTTCCTGTAAGTATTGGGGTCTCTAAATTGTCTGCTATCCATGAAGCTTTCACCTTCCAACTGCAGCATACTCTGCTGTAATGGGAGAAAATGTTCTCTTATTGACATATTAATGCCAAAGTGTAGCTGAGGAATTTGTACAAATAATGGTACATGGAAACCCTGGTTTTATTTTTCAAAGTAAGAGTCCCAGTCCCAGCGCCCTCAGTGATATTATTTAAATAATTCAAATACTTTAAAACAAATAATAGAAAAATAATTAGTCTAGCCAGCAGAACAATATAAAGAATAAAATATGTAACAGTGTAGATCCTGAATTTACTGGGTAAAGTAAGCCATGCTTAGACTATTCATGTGTTATACTAAGGTGCTATTACTGAACATATCCATTCCAAGTGTTTACTTTTCTGAACTGAGCACCAGCCTTCCAAAGGCTGACAAGACAGAATTGGGGCCCTGTTTTGGAACCCTAGTCATGCAAGTAGCCCTTCAATGGGACTATTCACATGATCAGGGTTTATTAGTGTGCTTAGCGGGTGTAGGATTGGAGTTGTAGCTTTAGATGATCACACACTATCTTTATTTTAAAATAGAAATGAAGAGGTTAGTTTATTTGCTGAGTTTTTGTCTGAAGAATTATTTTGACTGAGTAAACAAAGGGACCAGTTTGGCTGACATTTTTTTTTTCTTCTTACTGATCTATTTTAGGGTTTACAAGGCCCATCTGGTGACAAAGGAAACCGGGTAAGTCAGGAACCAAACTTCCTGCATTTGGTTACTAATGTCTTTATGTGGTGGTGGAATGGTTAATTTCTGAATTACCTGGAAAAAAAACAGATGAATTCCTACATGTTAAACCCTTATAAATCAACTTACAGTTGTGTAATTTACAGTGTGATGGCTGTAGTTTATACAATGCACCATAACCAAAGACCTCATCATTCAAACACTAAAGCATACCCGCTGTATTTTCAGAAGCGCTCAGTGGTGGCCTCTCTCTGTTCTCACTGAATGAGGCCAATGCAGAGTGCTTTTGAAAATCCTACCTTAACATGCTTAGTGAGATGTGCAGGGATGTATACCAGACAATTCCCACTAGTGGTAATAACGGTGGTATAGCTAAATCTTGTCACATGGTACTCAAATTCCCCTTGATGCAAAAAAGAATGTCAGCCACTTTATTGCAGCAAAATGTTTTCCAAAATTTCCAGAATTACATCATTTTTTCAACCAAACATGGAAATCTGGAGAAGAAATTAAATATGACTATATTAAAGAACCCGATCATGCAGTCTTAGACTCCTTACTCAGGCTTTGACTTGAATTGGTATAAGAACTGCAGAGCCAGGTCCTAAGAAAAGCAATAGATTATGTTAATTGCTGACAATCTTTTTTACATCATGTGCCTGTGTTATAAAGAAATAAACTATACCAAAGTGTACATATTTATAAGATTTTTTTATATTAGGATTATTAGTTATCTGAATCCTTTGATAACAACAATAAAGAGATACACAGCTGAGAATAGTTTATTCACTTGATAGATATAGATTCTCTTTATAAGGCTCTGATGCCATATGCAAGCATTTCAGAAATAGACTAAGCTATGATGGAATAAGTGCCAAAGCAGTAATTGTATGAGATAAATATATTTGCTGATAACATCGGGCGAGTGCTGTCTCTCCTTCCTTATCATCTGGAGTGCTCCTCTGATTCTATGTTGGACAGATTAACAATTTTGAAAAATGCACTGCCAGTCAGCATCTTAAACAAGGAGAGACTATTCCAAATTTCTTGAAATTCATGGCAGCTCCAAGGTGCTGCTACCTTTTAATCATTCCACTTCTGGTTTTGCTCTTTAACCTCCTCTTTATTTTATTAAGGTTTTTTTTTCTGAATAAGACATAAGCTTAACAGGATCTTTATTTAGACTTTTTCAGTTGGCTTTAAATCTGTATTTAGAGGATGGGTCTTTTGTTGGCTGCAGTAGGAATCAGTTTGGGTTAACGTGGCTTCATTGTTCTCCCGCACATAAAAATAACTGACGAGTGGGAAGAACAGCAACTTTCATAGATGATGAGAGGGGAGTGTCACAGTCCCCTTGAAATAAATATTTGGCTGAAATGCAACAAATGTTTTGAAACAAAAATGTTTGAGTAAACTGAGTTTGTGAATGGGCAAATACTGTAGCTTTTCAGGTCTGATCCACCAAATATATATTTTATCACTAACAATTTAATTAAGGGCTCCTCCTCAGCCCACAGTCCTTTTAACAAATTATTAAGTGGGCCACTTATTAGAGTAACTGAGGAATTAGAGTAAATTTTATTTTAAAAAATTTAAGCTTCCCGTATCAGGCTTTGTCTGATGTCCCAGTCTAATTGACATTCTTACAAATATCTCACAAGCTCCATTACGCAGAAATCTGGAGACTTCTGTGTGCTCAAATTCATTGTCAGGCCACCAAATGGTGTCTCTCATTAGCCAAACTGTTTAGTCACCAGAAGTTTGCTCTCCTTTCCCATAGCCCAGGCTTGAGCATAGGGTATGGCACTTTCATACCCATTTATGGGAGACATGCCACAGTAATGAAATGACATGGACTTCTTCAGGCACGAATGTTTTTTATTTTGATCCTCTGAGATGGACTCCCTCTGACAGGAGACCTGGAACAGAGAGCTTTAACAACTGAATTCAAACACCTGCCTTGAGTTTGATACATTTTCTTGCTGGAAAAGAAGCTGTTATTTAAAAATATTTTTAATAGTAGGTACTAGTAACAGCCATGGGCTATTAATAAGATGTATGCCCATACATTGTGATTAACACATTGAAAATAGGTTCTGAAGTGCCCACCCCATTCCCTGCAGTAATTTGACAAAAATCCCCTTCACAGGCCTTTCAGTTGCAAAAGACAGAACCCTGCCTTTTTATGCTGTGGATCTTTTCTGTGGAGCAGAGCCCTTTGTTCTTATGTCACTGTAGTATGTATAATAATAGCCTTCAAGATCCAGTGCAGTCATGAAAATAGTGTGCTATGTAACAACTGAAATGTTACTGGAACATGACAGCCTTGTGGATAACTCAACTGAAAAAGTATAAATGCTGAAAGTGTGCATTAAAGCTAAATTCTTCACTTTTTTTATAATATCTATTTTTTTCTTCTCCTGTCTGTGTGTTCGTATGTATTCCTTGCTTCTACAGGTCCACCTTTGTCCCCTTTATCCCTTCCTCCTCTTCTGCCTTTTTTCCTGGGTCCTTCCTCCTCCCTCCACTACAACCCATTCCACGTTTTCTCCTGGATTATCCTCTCTCTGTTCCAGTGTTTGATCCTGGGTGATTTCTCCTAGTTACCTCTCCTATCCCATCCATTTCTTTTGTCAGCTTGTAATTTATTTTGTCTAAAACCTTTTACTTTTCTTTTTTCTTTTTTTTTTTAAATCTATACCTGTGCTGCCTGATTTTATTGCACCTTCTAATCCTTACCATCTAGACACTAAATAAAATTCCCTCTTCAGCCATCCCACTTCCATTGTATCCTCAGCAGCTTTGAAAAGTTCTGCTCTTTTTAAAATATAATTAATATGAAGATATTTTGTATATATATTTTCTTGTAAATATCAAGGCCTATCCTGATGTTGACCTGCGCTTAGAATTTTTATTTAATTCAGTGTGAACTGAGGGTGAAATTTACCCTGTGCAGAGGGCCAGCGGGAGACCTGCTCACTATTTAAGATCCACTTATGCCCTGTTTTTACACAGGCTTTATGCTGGCCCTCTGCACAGGGATGCATTTCATTCTGTGGGTGTGATTCTTTTCTCACGGACCCCAATGTAAATCAGGAGTAACTCCACTGAAGTCAGTGGAGTGACACTGACTTAAACCAATTTTATACCAGAGAAAACTCAGACCCTCTCTGCACAAAACAACGGCACTATCAGGCTAATTCATTTGCTAAAATTAAAGCTGTGACAGATACAGACCTACCTTTATTAATCAAGAAAGAGAGATTTTTTAAAAGTACAGCATTTAAATAAAGCAGTGGAAAATGCTTACGTAAAACATATGGTATTTTAAAAATCATTTAAGAGAATGCATTTAAAATTACTTGTTATATTATTATAAACCAGAAATATTTTTGGGGGAAGGACAAGGAGAAGTATAAAGGAAAACAAGTGTAAAACTCATTAATTGGTAATTAGGTCCAAGGATGTGACAAAACAGGAGAGCCAGACTTGGAATCAAGCGGCCAGTATCTTGTTCCTTGGGTCAGTGGAGCTAAGAAGTGACACACTTGGGCTCCTGAGCCAGGCTTAGGACCACTCAGTGTTCAAACATCTCCTAGTCCGGGGGGACCAACCTGAGCCTGAAAAGGAGCCAGAATTTACCAATGTACATTGCCAAAGAGCCACAATAATACATCAGCAGCCCCCCCATCAGCTCCCTCTCCCCACCCCCGCCGCTCCCAGTGACCGGCAGCCCCGCCGATCAGTGCCTCCCCCTCCCTCCCCGTACCTCTCGATCAGCTGTTTCCTGGCATGCAGGAGGCTCTGGGGGCGAAGGGGGAGGAACGAGGGCATGGCAGGCTCAGGGGAGGGGGCGGGAAGGGGTGGAGTGGGGGCAGGGCCTGTGGCAGAGCCAGGGTTTGAGCAATGAGCTCCCCCCGGCACATTAGAAAGTTGGCGCCTGTAGCTCCAGCCCCAGAGTCGGTGCCTATACAAGGAGCCGCATATTAACTTCTGAAGAGCCGCATGTGGCTCCGGAGTCACAGGTTGGCCACCCCTGTCCTAGCCAGTCTGCGGAGTGGTATTAGGTGTCACTCTCCTGGCTGGAGGAGTCCCCAGTGCAATCCCATCTACAAAGTTCAGGGGGCTGACAGTTCATTTAATGCAATGGTGGGGTCAGAATCCTTATCAGGACAATTGCTGAAGTGCAATACATGCAAATAAAAAATATCAATAAATCCACAAAAGGCTTTCCTATAAGAGCAACTTAACTGAAGGAATTTCCTTTTTTACAATATTTTTCTAGACGTTTATTTATTTATTTTTTTAACTATCTCTGACATTTATTTGAAATGGATGATCCTAAAGCTTTTGTGTATTTTTTTTTCTTGGACTAAACTATTATTTACAGGGGGAGAGGGGCAAGAAAGGCTCTAGAGGGCCTAAAGGGGATAAGGGAGACCAAGGAGCGCCTGGATTAGATGCACCCTGTCCATTGGTATGTTCTGTTTTATAAAATGTTTTATTTTAAGATTTGTCAATGAGGAAGAAAGAAGGAAAACTTAAAGTAAATGATGGATATAAAGAGCACCCTGCTATAACAAAAGTCACATTGCTTAAATAAGGTCCTGCGCTGCTCCAACTGGAGTCTATGGCAAAGCTGTTTTCTTCAGTGTGAGGCAGGAACAGTCCCTTAAAGCGCAATTGGGCTATAGAGTGACTTTGGCTTTGGCCCTTTCTTTTCAGGAGCTCAAAAAGGAATGGGTGAAATGGCAGGAGGCTGAGAGCAAAGGGGTTTTACTATGAAAGGAGAACCTTGGAACTCCCATGCCCCCACTTGCGGGTTGTTGTTCTTTGGCAATGTTTAACATCATCACCCTTAAGCAGCGATGAAATCTAAAATGCCTTCTTTTTTGCCTCTGAGCAGTGTCCATCTGATGTGTTTGTAAGGGAGTCGCTCCTTGATAATGACACAGGGCACCCAGGTTAGGATATCCAGTGGGAAAACAAATTGGTGCGAAATCTGATGGGAGGTACAAAAAATGATCAAGATGGCCATGTCATTCAACATGACATTATCTCACTTCATTGGAAGCCTCTTTATATTTAAAAAGTAGCAAGAATTATCCAAATTATTTTCTAAAACACTAATGGAAAAACATAATGATATATGGCAGCAAGGATTATTTTATATATATCGATCATACCCTAGCTATTAAGGAAGCTCTGTGTGTCTAAAATGTTATCATTGATCCTTTTAGTTCACCCCCCAGGTATATTATTTGCTCAAGCTGAAGAGTCACTTGCGTACCACAGTAATAAGTGCAGCGTATGTGCCCAGACGGATCCTGCACAGAAATTATTCTCTTTTGTTTCAAAGTGGGGACAGCAACTGAAGATGATTTCTAAAAACAGAGATCCTCTTCCCACTCCCCCAACCAATAGAGTCCTCCCAGATTTAACAAAATCAGAAAAGCATCTTCAGACTCACACAGAATACAGAACCGGCAAGGCAACCTTTCCTACCGGTTATGTACTAGAGATTCAAACACTGATTATTTATGTACTGGGTATGTAGCTTGAGTGCCCTTTGATTATACCAGTGCGGGACTGGGCCTCTCCTCCCATGGCATGGAGGGGATGGCATTGACTGGAATAATTATAGTGGTTGATTTCATGAACAGGGACTCCGAGGTTTTAAAGGCGAGAAGGGTGAGCCGGGGTTACCTGGGCTGGACGGGCTGGATGCCCCTTGCCCATTGGTATGGTGTTACCTTCCCTTTCCTGCATGCTTCTGTTTGCTTTTCGTTCTTGATTGTTGTTTTATGATACTTCCAAATAGTAGCATGAATTGTAAACCTACAGCAGTGGTGCCATCCTTACCAATCTCCATCCTACCTCCTCTCACACGGCTTGCTTCACAATATGACCCATAACACCCTTTGCAGTGAGTCACGGCTACTACAGCCATCCCTTTGTAGTGTGGGGAGAAATGAAGCAGTAGTCTGGATGTTCTACCACATTACAGAGTATTAACAGAGTATTGTTCATAACTGCTTCATTTCTTCCTGTAAGATTTCCTTCAGAACCCCTGCTGGACCAATGCTTCGAAAGCTGACCCTCCAATACTTCAACTCTCTATTTGATCATTTGAAATGCTTAAATCCTCCATTAACTCCGCTGGCCAAGTGTGAATACTTGAAAGTAAAGTCTGACTCTCCTCCACACCGCCTATGCACCTCCCACATTTCAAAACAACCTATAAGAATGCAGACATAACTCTCAAACAATCCCTGAGAAACATACCAGTACAGTATTTCAAGTCATCAAGTTTCCAATAACTAATTTCTAATTATAAGAGTGTCCCGAAAAGACTGAAGCACTCCACTCTTATGTCATGACTTAACAAAAGACCTCACCTAAGTAATCTTTCAATCGCTCATGAGCAACATAAATGTCTGGGGGGAAATTATGGATTTTGCAGTACATTCAGAATGTAAACAAATTTGGGCTCTAATGGAAGAATCTTTCAGAACTGAAGGCCCTTCATGGAGAATCCCATGCCAGCAGCTCCTTCTCTCTTGTGATAAGGGAGTGCCAGCTCAAACTCCTCTTCTGGCCTCAGCAGCGGGCCCAACATTTCTCCTTTCTGTTGTTCTTTAGTGTCTCAGAGAAGGTTACTCTTGACTTGAAGGCTGCCTAGTACATTTCCTGACATCCATCTTACTTGGCTCTTAAAGGGATATTATCATTTTAATGCCACTTCCTAAATACTGTATCTAACCTAAATATGACAAAGCTGCTCCTGCCATCACACTAAAAAGCATCAGTTTATTCATTTACTCAAAAAAAAAAAAAAACTCAGCTCAAATGCAGTATCTGTTCCTTAGGGTATGTCTGGGAGCATGGGTAAGGCTTATGATAGTGTAACGCCAACAGACCCCGGTTGTCAGCAGGCGGGATTGAACCAGGGGCCTCTGGAGTTTAGTGCAGAAGCCTCTACCACATGAGCTAAAAGCCAACTGCCTGTTAAGCAGACTCATTAATATCTCTCTCTAAGTGGTCTCAGTGCCACTAGATGGGACAGAACACCACACCCAGGAAGTGTGTGGGTTACAATAGCTAGTGTGCTGAAAATAGCAGTGTGGACACACAGGTGGCAGCTCAGGCTAGCCACCTAAGTCCAAGCCACCCAAGCAACTGCCTGTGCCACAATGTCCACACTGCTATTTTTATCCTGCTAGTTCAAGCAGAGCTACTGAGAGTCTGTAAGGATTTACTAAAGGAAAGTCAGTGGATTAAAACTCATGATCCTCCTAGTTTCCATTTCTAATTTGACAAGTCTGGGAACAGCTGTGACAGCATGGGTTGTACAAGCCCACCTAGGAGCCAGGGTATGGATTTGAGCAGCTAGCCTGTGTTGCCTTGGCTTTACTGCTGTTATTCAAACTAGCTAGACCAAAGCTAGCACAGCTACATATACTTCAGTCACACCTTTAGTTGCAGGCTAGAAATACCCCAAGAATGTTAGTGCCAAGTCCTACTCGGTGTTACACATGCAGAACCACATTGATTGGACCATAGACAAACCAATGGAAAATTATGTTTAAAAAAAAAGGGGGGGTGGACTTTACTGAGAAACATTTGCTGCATCTGAACTGAGTTTTTCCTGAGTAGATAAATACAGTGGTTGCCATTAAAATCTTTACAATTTTGCCTTTGCAAGTAGCTAACGTTACTGTCACTCCAAGTATTCCCTGCAGTTTGCACTTCAATTTTCTTTGCATAGTGAATAATCGAATACTTCTGTAATAATAGCCATCTTCAAAGGCCAAACTGTAAAGATTTTAATGGAAACTCCTATTCTGTGAATCCTGGGTAAATAAACAAATTCTGCCCTCATTCACACATGTGATCACAGAAGCTAAAAATGCAAAAGAACTGTTCAGTCAACTAGTTCACCTCCTGCAACTGCTAGTCACTTCTATACTGAACATTCCTAAATTGTATAAAACACTCTGAGAGCATCTCTAAATAAAAGGATTCTTCCACTACCCTGGAAGACTAGTTTATCTTCTCTGGCACTACTCCTTCCAACTGCAAATTGCACTGCAGGGCAGCAGCATAATGTATGTCTATTTCATGACTATTTTTGTTATGGGAGACACGCCAGGAAATCTGGTGAAATGAAAATGCCAACAATATACAGTATTCTGGCATCCAAGCCTGTTTGAGACATTAAATAAGCATGTTTGTTGACCCAAAACTGTTAACACTTACTTCTGCCTGGCATTCTGCTGACACAACTTACTTCCATGCAGGATCTGCACAAATGTATGGAGTCTGAACTAATGCAAATCTGAAATATGGGACTCTAATGACTCATTACTAATAAGCATGTCCCACCTCCCTCCCTCTGCAAACTAGCCTGCAACAAACACTTCCTTGTGACCCTGTTCTTCCTTTGATCCCTAAACTATAACTCTCCAGCCTCCTGTTCCTTTACACACCTAACTTTCCATTTCCTCCTGCAATCCACTACACAATTCATTCCCGCCCACCACCAGCCTACCAATGGGAATGCACTTCTTCCCCAGTAACGGATCCATAATCATTTATTTCCACAGTCCTGCAACCTGGGGGAGGGAGCATTGCTGGGAGGCTACATTAAGAGAAAAGGACTTTCTGTCATCACCCAGTGATATGTGATCCATCAAAGTTGCTTATCCATGTACTTCAGTTAACTAGTTTCTCTCTCATTATAACCTTGTTCATTTTCTTGTCTTTGTTTTTTCTTTTCTTTTTTAAAAATGAGATGGTAAGCTGTGGAGACGTCTCCTACAATAGTTAAGAAGCTAAGAATAAACTAATTTGATTGAAGAAAATGGGTCCAATTCATCCTTTGTATAATTTCACTGACTGCAGTAGAGTTAATCAGGAGTGTATATGACCCAATAGCTTGAACTGTTAGAGCAGTTGTAGGCATCTTCTATAAGGATTTGATTGAACTGTCTAACTATCAATGGCCTAACTTGTTAGGTTAGGCTGTTTACCTGTTTATTATCCCAGTAATATCTCCCCACCATCCTCTATTGCCTGTTTCACAAGGCTGGTTAGTGCTGATCTGAGTAGAATTAATGATAACAGTTCACGAAAATTCATCTACCAGTTACCAAGGCAAAGGTCACCCTGTTTGTTTACTTTTAATATCCAAATGTTTACAGGATACAAAACTTTTTCAAAATAAAAACACTCTAAACCTGTATAGGGATGTCTGATCCTGCAGTCCTTTAGTGCAGGATCCTGCCAATTTCAAAAAAAATTCTGCACAAGAAATTCTTGAAGGTTTGGGCCATGTGAGAATACAGGCCTAATCCCATCCATTTTGTTGAGGCAAAATGCCTATTTGGCCAGCTATTCAGGATGCCACAAAGGGGTCGTAAAGCTGTCTTAAAGGGGCAGCTAAAGATTCCTTCATGGTAGAGGAATCCTTATCTGGTGTGAAGCCAACTCTACTACTCCACCTCCCAGACTGTCTCAGTGTAGGAACATGTTGGGGCAGGAGGAATGTGACGGAGCGGTCTGCATTCCAGCAATCCCTACAAACATAATGGCCCCAAGTAAGCTATTGCCAGTCAGCACAATTAAGAGTACCCCTGAGGCTGCTCTAGGTTATCCCAGGGGTTGAATTGGTCCTGGTTGTACCCAGGATTAGGGGTAGGTAAGAAAGAAAGCTGGTGGAAAACAGCCCTTTTAAAGAAAAGTGCACCCATTTTCCTCAGTCCAGGGCTCTAACTACCACCTGGTAGTAAGCATTTAAAATAATTAGGATTTTAATTAGGTTGAGCATGGCAGCAGCCATCTTGATGAAAAGTGACAGCAGAAGTAAGGGAGCCTGATGTCAAAGACCAAATAAATTTTCAATCAGATTTATAGATGTTATAGTTAACATTAAAAACAAACTTTTGCATTTAGATATGAAATATTTTGCTTCCTTATTAAACAGTTAAGCTCCTATTGTGACAGTGAAATAAGCTTTCAAAGCAGGGTGAAATCGGTTTTATAATCCATTCTCCCAAATCAGTGTCCCATGCCACCACTATAGAAATTGAGCAAAATGGAGGCAGTAATTTCTTTTAATATATTCTCAGAGCCTCCATCTGGATGGCATTGAGTCTGGGCTTCACCCCAACACTAAGGGATTAGCCAGCCGCACCAGAAAAAACACTTTGCATCCATTTCAAACCAGCACTGAAAATGCCTCAATCCCACACTACGCTATGCTTTTTGTGGGGAGTGAAAACACTTTAAAAATGGGCCAATTGGGCCAAGATTATCTGTACAGTAACTCCTCACTTAACGTTGTAGTTATGTTCCTGAAAAATTCGACTTCAAGCGAAACGATGTTAAGCGAATCCAATTTCCCCATAAGCATTAATGTAAATGAGGGGGTTAGGTTCCAGGGAAATTTTTTTCACCAGTGTGTGTATATATACATACACACACACACACATATATACACACAGTATAAGTTTTAAACAAACAATTTAATACTGGTACACAGTCATGATGATTGTGAAGCTTGGTTGAGGTGGAGGAGTCAGAGGGTGGGATATTTCCCACGGAATGCCTTACTGCTAAATGATGAACTAGCAATTGGCTGAGCCCTCAATGGTTAACTCTCACACTCTACAAAGCAGCAGGAATGGAGGGAGGGGAGACACTATGAGAGAGAGATGCGCATTTCCCCTTTAAGTACGCTGACCCTACTCTTAAGTACACTGCCTTGTTAATTAGATCAGCTTGCTGAGACTGCAGCTGCTGCCAGCAAGCTCCCTCCATCCTGAGCCCTGTCGTGTGTGTCCCCTGCTCTATGGAAGATGGGGTAAGCGGGGTGCAGGTGCAGGTGCAGGAGCAGGGGGGAGAGGGACACCCTGACAGCACTTCCTGCAAACAGTGGACAAAGCAGGCAGCTGCCAAACAACGTTAGAAGGGAGCATTGCACAAACTTTAAACGAGCATGTTCCCTAATTGATCAGCAACGTAACAACGTTAACCGGGACGACTTTAAGTGAGGAGTTACTGTATCTGTCCTGTTACTATGGTTAATAAAATTTATATTATGGTAGTGCCCAAACATCCCACCCTAGTATGCCCAAACACAGATAAAGAGGCAGCCCCTACTGTGAACACCTTGCAATCTAGAATCTTCAAAATTGTTTAAAATACCAAATCATATCCTGAACTGGTGTTCTAACAAATCTGCGACTGCCACACCTTTTTCTTTGTGCCCTATATGCTGTATAGGGTTTGCCAGTGCCCCTATTTGTATCTCCTTTCTTGCTATTGAAGAATATCTACAAATAGAATAAAAGTGTCAAGCAGTGCAACACAGAGATTTCTGATGTCTCAGCAGATTTGACACAAGGGATTTCTTGACATTTAGAAATAAGGACCATACAGCCAAGACATAAGAAAACGTAACTCCCAATGAATTTTGCTCAAGTGGACAAAGTGACCATTCTTCACTCAGTGCTAAAGCCAGCCCAGATAAATGAAATGAAAATATTTTCTAGACATTTCTGCAAGTCCAGATGTTAGTGCAGTGTTTGTGATCCGCTTTGCTGTATGTTGTCAGGAATGGCACGTCACCTACGAATTATGACATGGAATCACGCATGACAACATAACCAGCCAGTTCATGTCTCCCACTGCCAACATCCTGATATGTTTTACTCCTGAGTTGCAGCTTTTATGTTTCCCTCTTCAAGGAAAACAGGGCCAAACACATTTTCTGAGCAGAACTAGAGCATATATCCATAACCCTGCAGCCTAATACCCATCAACAGGAAGCCTGTGTGTGTTCCCTGCACAACACAGACAAATTTCCCTCTTGAATCTCTGGTTTCGGATTGAACCCTAACCAGGTCTTTCAGCCAGAAAAATGGGTCACCCAAAACAGAAGGGGGGAAATTATATATATTAGGACATTCATCTCAGCCCAACTCAGACTTAAAATGTTTGTTGCAGCTATATTCGTTAACCCTTTCCTTCCTTCCGTTTGGCTCTGTCTCCTGATCCTAAACTGTGTTTGTTTCCTTCTTTGTTGTAGGGGGAAGACGGCTTGCCAGTTCAGGGCTGCTGGAATAAGGTAAAATAATCTTGGAACTTCTATGACTGTGCTGAATTAAAGGTGTTGATGCATTTTGCAGATGCTTTTCTGTGAGTCTTTCTAATGACAAAACAGATGTGTAAAGCATGCAGTGGATTTTCAGTGCCAATGCTCATGACAAGCAAGGACCAAAACTGTCCATTTGATTTATCCAATAATACACAAATAAAATAGGTTAAAAATGATGGAATTCTATTGGCAACCCTGGATATTCCAGGCTTAAAAAATATCTTATAGTTGCACAGAATCAAAACTCATTAGCTGTGTTATATTCCTACATATCAATATATTATTAGTAAATAATCCTTTTATCCATAGATCTCAAAGTACTTTGCAAAGATGGCTAAGCACTGTTATCCCCATTTGGGGGAAACTGAGGCACATAAAAAGCCAACATTTTCAAAGTGGAGTGCCTAATATTAAGCACCTGAATCCATTTTAGGCACCCAAATAAAGGTAATTGATCTGATTTTCAGAGGTTCTAAACACCTGCAGATCTAGTAGATTTAAACTGAGTTAATCTGGAGTTTCTGGTGTAAATGAGATAAGAGTTGAAACAGAAATATCTTATATGTGGTTGGGTTGTTGTTTTAAATTGTTATTACAGCCAATACAGCATGCTAAGATAAAAAACAAGACAAATAAACTAAAGCTCCAAATTTCCTTCCAATAACCTTCTGCCTGGGTTATAATTAGCATACAGTACTTTATGTTTTACAACTGAGGAGGTTTTAAAAGCTCTGAAGGGAACAGTACAGCTGGGATTTTCACAGAGCCTAAAGGAGTCAGGCATATAACTCCCATTGACTTTCAGTAGGAATTGGGTACTTAACTCCCTTAGTCCCCTTTGGAAATTCCAATCTAAAGATATAATGATAATTCAAGCTCTAGTGCTGTGATCAGCTCTAATGCTGTTTATAATATTGACTGGGAATTTCAGGTTTTAGTCCTGGCTGTATAAGGCGTAACATGATTCAGTAGCTGGAAGTTGAAGCTAGACAAATTCAGACTGGAAACAAGGCATACATTTTAAACGGTGAGAGTAATTAAACATTGGTACAATTTACCGGGGGTGTGGTGGATTCTCCATCACTGAAACTTTTTAAATCACGATTGGATGTTTTTCTCAAGGATCTGCTCTAGGAATTATGTTGGGGAAGTTCTATGGCCTGTGCTATACAGGAGGTCAGACCAGATGATCACAATGTCCCTTCTAGCCTTGGAATCTATGTTCAACTGACATACTCTGTAGCCTTGGACAAGTCACATGGGACCTAATTTTCAAAACCTGCCTCTAACTTTGGGTGCCCAACTTTAAACATCTCAGGCCTGATTTTTCAGTGCTGCTGAGCACCTGCAACTCTCATGCATTTCACTTGCAATTGTAGGTGTTCGGCACCACTAAAATTTAGGCCCTTAGTTTCTAAATTAAGACATTCCACAATTGAAGGACTCTAAACTAGAAGTCTTTTTCTGATCATTTAGGTCTTAACTTCAGTGTGTTCATGAAAAAAAGGGGTGTATTATCTACCTCACAGGGCACTTTGAAAATCAATTAATTAACTGATTTGTAAAGTGCTTTGAGATCTTTGGATAAAGGTTGCTGTTTAAGTGAAAAATAGAATTACTATGCCAAATCCTGGCCCGAGTGTATCCAGGATGGAAAGCACTCAAACTCTATGGTCTGCCTGAGCTTTGCAGTCATGACAGTTTGTGCTAATTCTGAAAGGACACACTACCTGAGGCAACTCAGAGCCCTTACAAGGCTGCCCAAAACCTACTCCATTCCCAGGGATACTCCCCCCAACCAAATCCTTGAGGAGGACATCAAAGGAGGCACTGAGACCATGCAATGAATCTGATGTCCAAGAGGAATAGGTATGACCCCTCTCCCCCAAGCAGGCTGACAGCTATGCAAGAAGAAATTTACATCTTCGAAATGGAAATATCAGATGGAAATATAGGGGCCCCCTGACCTGAAGATTCCAATCAATGATCGACTCACAGACATGCACTTACACAAACCTTGTAATAACATGTTTTCTTTAAAGAAAAACAGCATAGAAACCTATTCAGGTCCCTTCTTTTCCCTTCATTTTCTGCAGTTCAGCTGCATAGGAGTTCTTGATGCCCTATAGCCATTTCAGGCTTATGCATCCATCAGTGCCACTCTTCAGGTTCTGGGTCATTATTATTAGTATTACCTGTTGTTTACATTAGTGCAGAAAGCAGCTCCACAAACAGCAATTTCAATAGGTATGATGGGGATGAGGAGGGTGGAGAGTCATCCAACATTGTACCCCCTCCTTCCCAACCAGACAAATGAAAATGGTCATTCCTGAGGTTCTTGATTGCTTCCTCAACTGTTGTGTGTTCTGGAGCATGCTCAGATAACAAGGTCCCCCCAGCTGTGTTTCCCTCCATTAAGAAATCCTTACAGCCATTTGAATTGTGAAACTAACACAGGTTTATGTTTTCTTTTGCAGTGATGATTCTAACCATGGACTGGCCTGTGTGTTTTTTGTACATAGAATATTTATTTTTATACAGTGTTCTTTTCTGAAATGCCAAGAAGTTATACATTTTACAAATTATCAAAAGCTGCATATATTTTGTACAGAAAATACTAAATTGCCCTTTTTCTGTTTGTCAATCCTTTATATAATTCTGTGTCTATATTATGCTTATATTGTTGTGGAGTCCAGCTGTAATATTTGCATGATATTTGTGCACACTTGATAAGTATTGGAACTTAATAAATTATTGCATTCAGGTGCCAAAAGGAACTGCCCTATATAGATCTGAAGGTCATTTCCCTTGCCAAATTGGGAGAATTAAAGAATATTTGAAGTGTTATGGATTTTATTATTAAAATGAAATATGACAATGTTATCTTTTTGTGAATAAACTATGGTGTTGCTGGGGAAAGCCTGGGGCAGCCAGCAGTGCTATTAAAATGAGGGACTTCTATCTTCTATTTATTACATCAATTTAGAGCATAAGGGCTTTCTTACTCAGTTTGCCATATCCTAGTGCAACCAAACCACCACTAGAGGACACTACTGGTGCTATTTTAACAAAGGTGCCCATTCATCAGTGAGGACGTTTAGGCAGCAAAACATGTACAAACATACAGAATCTGTCTTAAACTCTTGTAACTAGTTAAGATGGTATGTCTCACATTACCAGTTAGCCACCAGCATTTGTGATTATGGCACCAGTTCAGCAAAGTACTCAAGCACCTGTCTAATTTTAAGCACAAATAGTCCCCTTAAAGTCAATGGGACTATGCACATTCTTAACATTAAGTAGCCACTTGAATGCCTTGATGAATAGAGACCTAAATGAATACTTACTGTACATACGAATACACATTTAGTGTCAAGTATCAGGGGGTAGCTGTGTTAGTCTGTATCCACAAAAACAACAAGGAGTCCGGTGGCACCTTTAGTCTTTAAGGTGCCACCGGACATTTAGTGTCAATCATGGGGTTACATGCACATTTGCAAAAGAAAATAATCATAATTTGCATATGAACATCTTAAATACTCTTCTTGGTTTACCTATATTAATGTCTCAATTCCAAGGTGCCCACTCAGATAAAACTATGTTAGTAGGTTAAAGAGAACATCACAGTGTATGTTACAGAAGCAGTAAAAGAACACAATGGGTGCCACACTAGTGTAGCAACTGACCTCCATATATAAAGACCACTTGAAAGAGATTGCTAAATCATAAACCTCAATTTGATATAATTATGCACAAGCCAAACTGTGATTCTAATAACATAGAAACTCCATTCGTGCTTGTGCATTTCACATTGTACACAACGGACCGAATTCAGTCATGACATAAGTGCAGTTCCCACTGAAATAAATCCATTTATGCCTTGGTTGAATTTTGCCCACTGTGTGTGTTATGTATTGGAAAGAAAGGGATGATGTGTAATTCCTAAAACTTGTGCACCTTTTGTAGCCCAGGTCTGAAAGGTGAAACACTAGGAGTAAAGTTTGCAATTGGGGGATAGAAGGGAAGCTAATAGTGTCAAAAAAATCACAGTGGAGATGAACAAAGTGTACTCCATCAATTGAACTAAACAGAGGCACTGAAATCAAGCTGCTTAATGCAATACTGCAGGTCTCTCACAATTTTGCTATATATTCCCTCCAAAGTACCTGCAGTACTGTATGTATCAGTCTTACATAAAAAGAATCCCTTATCTATGCAGTATAAGGAAGGTGAACACCTGGTTTGAGAAACTGCAAGTTAAAAAAGCCCCGGTATACAGTATGTATCATATCCAGAGGACTCCCAATTTGTTATCTTAGCCAACAGATTCCTCTTTGTTGCTACAATATAAACAGAACTGCCATTGCCCTGGGTTAAGACACTTTGTTTGAAACGATATAGCATGAGAACTAACAACTGTATAGCACTATTTTTTCATAAAAACATTGATATCAAATCCAGCTACCTGTTACAAGGGTGTGGAGTGTGGAGTGTGGCTGGCACGGGCAGCAGTTATCTGAACACGAACTGATACTACCCAATTCTAGTCTTACAATTGGATCAGACACAAAAAAGTCAGCCAGTACAAAAGTCAAAATAAAACCTTGTCCTAATAGTAACCCTGTTACTGAGTCCTTGTAGGGTTGTTACGGCGTTAGAGAGGAATTCCTTTGCTAACCTTGTACCAAGAAACAACCAAGATGAATCAGTCTAACCCTTTCTAAAAATGGTAGCTGTACTTAAACAGCTGGCATTGACAAACTCCTAAGAAAATTCACAACTGTCTGCTTTTTGTCTGCCCCTTTCCTGTTTTCTGAATGTGTTCTTCTTTGTTGCATGGCATGAATTTGTCACGGCAAGATTTTTTTTTTATCTAAAAGAAAACAAAACTTACAACGGTAACATTGTTTTACATGCCAACTGAAAGTTAATTCATGCGCTCAGAGGAGTATGATATTTGTTTATTATTTCTCAGGCTGTTTTTCAGCTGATAAATTTATGAGGAAGGAACCATTGTCTGAGGCATCAGGGACCTTGAAATGAAATTGCCAGAGCTCTTGGAAGTCGCTAAATCATGACAGTAAAATAGGGTTGCCAACTTTCTACTCGCACAAAACCAAAACACCCTTGCCCTGCCCTGCCACTCCTCCGAGGCCCCACCCCCACCCTACCCCTTCTCCAAGGCCCAGCCCCCCCATTCACTCCATCCCCTCCCTCCCTGTCGCTCGCTCTCCCCACCCTCATTCACTAGGTCATTTTCACCGGGCTGGCTCAGGGGTTGAGGTGCAGGAGGGGGCTCCATGCTGAGGCAGGGGGTTGAGGTGTGGAAGGGGGTGAGGGCTCCGGCTGGGGGTGCAGGCTCTGGGGTGGGCCTGGGAATGAGAGGTTTGGGTTGCAGGAGGGTGCTCCGGGCTGGGATAAAGGAGTTTGGAGGGTGGGAGGGGGATCAGGGCTGGGGCAGGAGGTCAGGGGTGCAGGCTCCAAGCGGCGCTTACCTCAAGAAGCTCCCGGAAGCAGCAGCTTGTCCCCCCTCCGGCTCCTATGCGGAGGTACGGACAGGCGGCTCTGCGTGCTGCCCCATCCTCAGGCACCACCCCCTCAGCTCCTATTGGCCGTAGTTCCCCACCAATAGGAGCTGCAGAGCTGGGGTTTGGGGCGGGAGCAGCGTGCGGAGCCCCCTGGCTGCCCCATGTGTAGGAGCCGGAGGGGGAACATGCTGCTGCTTCTGGGAGCCGTGCAGAGCCATGGCAGGCAGGGAGCCTGCCTTAGCCCCGCTGCGCCACCGACCGGACTTTTAGCGACCTGATAAGCAGTGCTGACCGAAGCCGCCAGGGTCCCTTTTTGACTGGGTGTTCTGGTCGAAAACTGGACACCTGGCAACCCTACAGAAAAAAGAGAGAGGTTTTGGGAGCACTAGACAACATGGGCTTGATATTCCTGTCACTTACTCCTTTATTGCACCAGTGTAACTCCAGTGGCTTCAGCAGAGTTGTTACTGCTTTACACCAGTGTAAATGAAAGGCGAATCAAAGACCAATTGCTGCAGCTAGAACCCACTTCCTTTTAGTCAGCAATGTGCGAATACACACACCCAGCAACTGTCAGCTCATGCTCCTCTCCCCACTTCTTTGTTCAGCTTTACTTCGAACAATTCCATTCAGAGCTTTGGGTTGGCCTGTTCTCTAAATAATTTCCAAGATATCACTAGGCTGTCAATTACTGAGTCTGGATATCAGATCTTAGGCCTTTCAGGGGTTTGTTTAACATTCCCTCTGAGTTTCCTAAAGAAGTCACTGCACATTTTAAAAATGTCACTGCAGTTTTTGTGTTGCAGTTTGACCCGCACCCATCTTCAGTGGCAGTGATGGGGTAAAATATCAAAGAGATCAGCACATCCAGGTCCCATGCACTGAAGGGGTCCCCCAAAATAATTATTTTCCAATAGTAACAATTAGTCTCCCCCTAAATAAAAAATAAATAAAAAAGATTGTGTTTCCTAGTAACGCCTCTAGCCCTATGCAGAGAGCGGTTTGGGGTTTCTGTTTTTTCTACTGATCTGCACCACCTTTAACCTTCCTTCCCTGCCCAGTTGGAAATTAACTTGGTATGCTCCTCCTCCATATCAGGAACTCCTTAGTTCAGTCCTCTACTCCCTGGTATAGTCCAGTGTTCCTTCTTCCCCACAACATTCCCCCTGCAACACATAATCACCCTCTGAAAGCTTAAGTTCAGGCCCAAGCATTTTAAATCTAAAAGCATGTATTTTTCAAGACTGAGGGCAGGTCTACACTTAAAATGCTTCTTTGGTGCAGCTGCACCAATGCAACTGCACCGCTGTAGTGCTTTAGTGAAGACACTCTACGCCAACAGGAGAAGCTCTCCTGGTGACACAACGCTGTCTACATTGGTGCTTAGGTTGGTATAACTACGTTGCTCGGGGTGGGGATTTTTCACACCCCTGAGCAATGTATTTATACCAAAGTAATTCCGTAGTGTAGACCGGGCCTGGTTTTGCTCTGAGTAGATTCCACCGACTTTACAAATTAGTTTTATTTTTATCCTTACCTGAAAAATAGCAAATACTTCAAGGCAAAGGGAATCTGTAGACTTCAGTTTAAAAGAAAACTTGGCTCTTAAATACTAAATACTTATTTTAAGGGAGTTTGGCACCTAACTCGCTTAGGTTCTTTAAGGAACCATAACACCTTTGAAAATCTGTCCCTGAGAGTCTGACAGAGTTAACAACAAAGAAGCAAAGTAGAAGAGTGTTACAAGGTATACACAAATCTGAGAGTGCGAGAAGTGAGTGTTCTTTTCAAGAGGAGGAGGCAATGATACCTAGATAGCAGGCAATTCACAAAGTAAAAAGGGGAATTGACTTCTGCGAAGGGAAAAATATTGAATTTGCTCCTTTGGTTACCCTAGAAAAATTTTGGCCAGTCAACAGAAACTTAAAAATTCTATTGTGGCTTCACAAAATAAAGCTATGCTGGTGATGAGGGGAAGATTCAAAGGGCCACAGTTCACCACTGGAAGTTCCTGAACATGCCTTCTCTCAGTTCCTAGGCCTCCTTCTTCTTGGGTGGCTAGCAGCTGATGGAAGGGCACAGAGCATGGCCTAACTCCATTCAGAGTACTTCACATTGCTGGCAGCACTAACACTCCTGCTGCCTTTGCATTCAGGAATTGCAGAAACTGGTATTGTGGTCCGCTCCCTGTGCCCTCCTTCCCCTCCTTGTGCACCAACACAGGGCCAGCCACGATCTAGTCCTGCTTTATTAGTGCTGCATGAGATATCAAGTACATGATATTTCCACCATCTTAGTCTAAAATTTTGGTTGAACAGCTATTCTCACAAGATTCCAGACCCTTACAGTTTTGGATTAGAACTAGAACTCAGATCATAGAGGCATTTTGTCATCAGT